TTGGATAAAATCCCCACAGCTTTCCTCTGTTTAACAGATGAAATAATTTTACATTCAGAATCAAGATCTAAAGTATTACAAAGTATTAAAATGCTTCCAAATCAATGAATAATTAAAATGTCATATTATCCAGATAATTGGTTTGTTTATTTATTCTGAATCTAGAAAATCTGTCATCTATATAAGGTAATATATGGTACCTCTGTGTTCAGAATATCTGATTAACAACAGATATGTTAATAATAGATTTATTTGTTTTGTTATATTTATATGCTTACATATAAATATAATCTTAAGTATTTATTATTGATATATTTATACTTATTTGTGTTAGTTTATATTTACTATACTTATGTACTATATTTATACAGCTTTAGATTTTAATGGCATGGTGTAGTGGTACAATGATTCTCAATGCAGAATGGATCAAATTTAACCAAAGTTTCTTGGCTAAGGGAGAAATACAGACAATTATGGGAAGAGACAAGGTTAAGCTATGGATGGCAAAAAGTGACTATGATAAGAAAAAAACAGCTAGAAAGGCAAGAAGGCATCTAAAATAACCCCAAAAGGTCATTCAACACAATAAACATTTCTGTCTGTGTACAAGATTCGCTATGCCACAATGTCAAACATCCAGCGTTAAGTGTTCAAAACATTACAGCAAGGCCAACAGGCACATGAAAAGATGCTCAACATCACTAATTATTAGAGAAATGCAAATCAAAACTATAATGAGGTCAGACCAGTCAGACCAGACCTCAGACCAGTCAGAATGGTCATTATCAAAAAGTCTACAAATAATAAATGCTGGAGAGGGTGTAGACAACAGGGAACCCTCCTACACTATTGGTAGGAATGAAAATTGGTGAAGCCACTATGGAGAACAGTATGGAAGTCCCTTAAAGAACTAAAACTAGGGCTTCCCTGGCGGCGCAGTGGTTGAGAGTCCGCCTGCCGATGCAGGGGACACGGGTTTGTGCCCTGGTCTGGGAAGATCCCACATGCCGTGGACCAGCTAGGCCCATGAGCCGTGGCCGCTGAGCCTGCACGTCCGGAGCCTGTGCTCTGCAATGGGAGAGGCCACAACAGTGAGAGGCCCGTGTACCGCAAAAAAAGAAAAAAAGAAAAAGAACTAAAACTAGAGTTACCCTGTGATCCAGCATTCCCACTCTGGGGCATATATCTGAAAAAGATGAAAACTCTTAATTTGAAAAGATACATGCATCCCAATGTTCATAGCAGCACTATTTACAATAGCGAAGACATGGAAGCAACCTAAATGTCCATCGACAGATGAATGGATAAAGAAGATGTGGTACATATATAATGGAAGACATATACATATATATACTCAGCCATAAAAAAGAGTGAAATAATGCCATTTGCAGCTACATGGATGGACCTAGAGATTATCATACTGAGTGAAGTAAGTCAGATAAAGACAAATATCATATGATATCACTTATTTGTGGAATCTAAAGTAATGATACAAATGAACTTATTTACAAAACAGAAAAAGACTCACAGACATAGAAAACAAACTTACGGTTACCAAAGGATAAGGGGTGGGAAGGATAAATTGGTAATTTGGGATTAACAGATACACACTACTATATATAAAATATGTAAACAAGGACCTACTGTATAGCACAGGGAACTATATTTAATATCTTGTAATAACTTATAATGGAAAAGAACCTGAAAAAGAACATGTATATATATATAACTGAATCACTTTGCTGTACACCTGAAACACTGTAAATCAACGATATTTCAATTTAAAAAAACACTAGAGCAAGATGAACTAAATTCAAAGACTCTTTTGACACTGAGTGAATCCATTTACTTCAGGGATCCTCTTAAGCCAGCAAGGCAGTAGACAAAAATAAAGAGGCAACTTAGTGTCGTGTTTAGGAGTGCATGATGTACAGCTGAACAGCCTGGGCTGGGCTGTAGCTTTGCCTTGTATTAGCCATGTAATCTCAGGCAAGTTTCTTCACTTCTCTCCCTGTTCCTTAGTTTCTTCATCTGTAAAATGGAGATAATAACAGTTCCTAATTTAGAAGGATGCTGTGAGGATGAAATGAGATAACCTACTTAGAGTTCTTAGCACAGTATCTGATACATAGTAATGCTTGCTATTATTATTATTAGTTCAAAAATTTCTCAGTAATAAGCTATTTGGTCTTTGTTATGTACACAGTTCATAAAGGGTAAATTCACCAGCTTTGCAGAGTCCCACAGTACCTCAAATCAGATGACAAAGATAGGCAGAGAGCACACAAGCCAAAAAGGTCTGAACCCCAAAGTTTACCTTTTAATCAGTGGAACACATTTCCCACATGCACAATAGAAACAAGTAGTGGCTATACTATTAGTAGCACAGGTGAAAGATGTGAGTAGGCTGGGCTGAGCATCTAGCTGTGATCCACACCACTGCTCTAATGGGGAGCATTCTATGGTACTTGGGAAGGAAAGAACACAGTGACCCCCGGGAGAATACATCTGCCCCTGGCGGCACTGGAGCAGCTTGAAGATTACATCTTATTCTCAAGGACTTCAGAGACCCTATTCTGCACTGTACCAAGAACACCACAGCACTCACTGTAGTAACAGTAAGAAACACTGTAACCCATAACACACACAAAGATTTTAAAATAAAAAATGTAGGGATTTGTTTTTATTTCAAAACCTGAATATGCTTTTGGCGATATCTTTTCAAAAGCAGGACCCTCTTTAATTGGCAGTATCTCAGTGCCAGCTCTCAATCTCTCCATAACAAGTCGACTGACTAGTTCGTTTTCCCTATGGGTTTATATACCTCACTTTCTTCTTAAGCAAGTAATACTGAGCAGTGAAACCACTCAAAATTAGACAAAAAAAAAAAAAAGTAAGGGAGAAGAGTTTAGAAATTCTACAAAGTCAATCAGGAAATAAAATGTCAAGAATTAACTACATTTCTTAAAGTTAGCTATACACACTTACATTCCACACACATAAAACAAGATGTTGGTCTCCCAATAACATTCTCCAGTAATAGAGTCAGAGCTCCTCTGAGAAATGGTTGATCCCAGGGCTGGGGCAGAGAAAGAACAGGACATGTCTGGAACATCTTAGACCAAAAAGTAAGGAAGTGCTCAAAGAAGGATTGGGGACATGTTAAAAGGACATGGACCCAGACTGAAGGGGCTACCGCCAGCCAAAATGGGGATGATTAGAGCATCAAAATAAAATAATCAGAGTAAAGAATTATAATCCTTTGAATAAAGTAAGAATCCTTGAGTCCACAGTGATATAAACAAAAGATTAAATAAATGGGGCGGGGGGTGAGAATGGGTGGGTAGGTTAAAAATCTCTTCCTTACTGTAGAAAAACAACTAATGTATCTAGAAGGAATGATGGAATAAGAAAAATCACCATTTGTCAATCATCATCATAATAACTGATTCAGGCAAGAATCATCAAAGGATGCTGAACTAGTGGATGAAAGTTTGAGAAGCAACAGGACATTCACATAGTCTCAGAATATACCCCTTCAAGTTAATTTTCAATTACAATAAAGATGTACAGTGGAGAAACCTGGCAGTTATCACCTTAACCAACTGATTAAAGTCACCATTGCCACTAATGGGGGCAGTCGACAGCATGTGCATCCTGGTGTAAATGCACCGAGAAGTCAGCATTGTTTCAATGATTTGAAATTGAAAACTAAGGAAACCTGAATAAACTATGGACTGTAATTAATAATGCATCAATATTGTTTCATTAATTGCAACAAATGCAGCATACTAATGTAAGATGTTAATAATAGGGGAAACTGTGGAGGGGAGAAAAAGCATAACCTAAATCTAATGAGAAAACACCGGAAAAACCCACCTGCATTCTACAAAATAACTGGACTGTACTATTCAAAATTGCCAATGTGATGAAATACAATAAAAGACTCCAGGATAAAGAAATTAACTCAGATTAAAGGAATTAATTAATCTCAATAAGGTCTGGAAAGTAGATAATAGCATTGTTTCAACGTTAAGTTCCTGATTTTCATCACTGTACTATGTTTATGTAAGTGAGTTCCTTGTTTTTAGAAAATACACACTGAAATATTTAGAGGTAAAAGGGAATCATGTCTGCAACATACTTCTAAAAGGTTCAGAGAAAAGAATGAAGTGGGAGAGGAAGAGAGGAAGGGGGAAGGTGGAGGCGAGAGAAAAACAAATGTTAACAAAATGTTGACATTTGGGGAATCTGTGAAGAGCATCCAGGAGTTTCTGCAATTTTTCTGTGTCTGAAATTATGTCAGTTTTTAAAAATTAAGTTGGATATAAAGTACTACATCTGTCAAAACTCATAGAACAGTACACAAAGATCTGTACATTATATCATAAGATAATAATAAAAGCTTATTCTAGATGTTTCATCAAATGTTGATGATTGGAACACTTCAGTAATTGAAAACAGAGGTTAGAAACCCACAAAGGACCAATCAAAATGAAGACTAAATTCAAGCCTGCTGTATGTTAAGCTTGAAATGATACGGTAGCACCAGTGAGGCTGCCTGTCACTTCTGTGCCCACAATGACCAGCAGCTCTCATGATTTCCTGGCTGTACAGAGGCCTGCCACCTTCCTGTCACACTCCCCAGAAGGCCCTCTTGTGCTCAGCCGGGTAACACTACATTCTCTTACTAATCAGTCTCCAAATACATAAACCCGTTTGTTACAAGCAAACACAGACCTTAAATTTTTTTTTTAATTAAAAAAGGGAGAAGCCAAACATGATAGTGACAATCTCTGATGAGGGCAAACATGTTGCTAAATAAGCCTCAGGGAAACACTGCCGTTGATGCCAAGGCCCAGAGCAGGAGCCAGCCTCACACCTGGCTTAGAACACAGGTTAATATCTTTCCAAGTGTTTTTTAAAGATTACTATCATTCTAATAGTCAACAATATTTTTCAAAACACTAATAAAACAAAGTGGCTGAGATGTCTCATACCTTGCTTTAGAAATACTATAAATTCCTTTACAGTTTGGTCCAAATGAACTCCATAATATACCACAGGTCTGAAATTGCGATGCTCAAATGAACGAATGAGGCGAACCGTAATGGTCACATCTTCGGAAGCCATGTGAAGAAATTCCTGTGGCAAGGGGACAATAACATCAACTCATAATTATCTACAAGCCTGTACTTCCTCCATCAGCTCTTGGGCACCCAGCCCATCTCTCCCACACTGCACAGTTAGCAACACAGTCCCCACACCCACGCCAGATTCCGGGACAACCAAAGGGTCTCAAGGTCACTCCCACCTACCCACTGCGATCCTGGACAGCTTCATCACAGTCACTGATGTTCTGACTGGTCAAAAACTGACAGGGCACAGAAGATGAACACAGTTGACTCAGGGTGTGGGTGTGCATGTATGGGGAGAAGTGGGTTGCACTAAACATGTGACCACTCTGGTTTGGTACACCAGCGATCTCCTCATTTGGCCCTGAGATGAAGTACACTTATATTAGCATCAACTATCAGGCTACATTTTGTTTTGTTTTGTTCTTCTTGTTTTGGCTGCGTTGGGTCTTCGTTGTTGCGCGCCGGCTTTCTCTAGTTGCGGGGAGCGGGGGTTACTCTTCGTTGCAGTGCGCAGGCTTCTCATTGCAGTGGCTTCTCTTGTTGTGGAGCACGGGCTCTAGGCACACGGGCTTCAGTAGTTGTGGCATGCGGGCTCAGTAGTTGTGGCTCACGGGCTCTAGAGCACAGGCTCAGTAGTGGTGCATGGGCTTAGTTGCTCTGCGGCATGTGGGATCTTCCTAGACTGGGGCTCGAATCCGTGTCTCCTGAATTGACAGGTGGATTCTTAACCACTGTGCCACCACGGAAGCCCCAGGCTGCATTTTAATTTCACAAATGTTGCCAGATTTCAGGAAGGATTTAATCATGTGCCACGGTATCATCCACCTTCCACACTATTATTTGAATATGTTTATTTCATCCTAAAACTATGTATTGGGTTGGCCAAAAGGTTCTTTCGGTTTTTTCTGTAAGATGGCTCTAGTAGCACTTGGTTGTCTTTAACTTCATTCAAAACAATTATGTTAGATTGTATTGTGACAGCTGTCATATCAGAGTGCATTTAAGAAACAGAATTATCGGGGCTTCCCTGGTGGTGCAGTGGTTGGGAATCTGCCTGCCAATGCAGGGGACACGGGTTCGAGCCCTGGTCTGGGAAGATCCCACATGCCGCGGAGCAACGAGGCCCGTGAGCCACAACTACTGAGCCTGCGCATCTGGAGCTGTGCTCCGCAACAAGAGAGGCCGCGATAGTGAGAGGCCCGCGCACTGCGATGAAGAGTGGCCCCCACTTGACACAACTAGAGAAAGCCCTCGCACAGAAACGAAGACCCAACACAGCAAAAATAAATAAACTGATTAAAAAAAAAATTGGTGAATTTTTGTGTAGCCATTTTAATATTGAAGATGGAAGAAAGAAAGCAACATTTTCGGCATATTATGCTTTATTATTTCAAGAAAGGTAAAAACGAAACCAAAATGCAAAAAACTAGATTTGTGCAGTGTATGGAGAGGGTGCTGTGACTGATCGAACTTGTCAGAAGTGGTTTGCGGAGTTTTGTGCTGGAGATTTCTCGCTGGGTGATGCTCCATGGTCGGGTAAACCAGCTGAGGTTGACGGCGATCAAATGGAGACATGAACTGAGAACAATCAATGTTACACCACACGGGAGATAGACGACATACTCAAAACATCCAAATCAAGCGCTGAAAACCATTTGCACCAGCTCGGCTATGTTCATTGCTTTGATGTTTGGGTTCCACATAAGTTAAGTAAAAAAAACCTTCTTGACCATAGTCCCGCATGCGATTCTCTACTTAAACATAATGAAAACGTTCCGTTTTTAAAACAAATTGTGACAGGTGATGAAAAAATGGATACTGTACAATAATGTGGAACGGAAGAGATCGTGAGGCAGGCAAAATGAACCACCACTGACCACACCAAAGGCAGGTCTTCATCCAAAAAAGGTGATGTTGTGTATATGGTGGGATTGGAAGGGAGTCCTCTATTATGAGCTCCTTCTGGAAAACCAAATGCTTAATTCCAACAAGTACTGCTCCCAATTAGACCAACTGAAAGCAGCACTCGACAAAAAGCGTCCAGAATTAGTCAACAGAAAACACATAATCTGCCATCAGGGTAACACAAGACCATGTGTTTCTTTGATGACCAGGCAAAAACTGTTACAGATTTAATTCTATCATCAAACCAGGAGGTATTATACTCATTTAAGAATGAGGAAAGACTCAAGAGAGATTGCACTAATTGCCCAAGGTCATATAGCTGATAAAAAATGAAGCCAGGATTCAAGCACCAATTTAATTCCAAATCCCATGCACTCTCTAATGCACTGTTCGAAAAATCATCCCAAACTATCTCCTCCAAAAAATCTGCAAAGTTGCCAATGTTTTAAAAATAAAATTATGGTATATTTCTAACTAGTAGCAACTACTTCATGCTTTCAACTTTGCATACAACTTATAGCCATAATATGCATATATTATATTATATATTATAGCCATAATATGCATATATTATAGCCATATATATATATTATAGCCATAATATGCATATATTATAGCCATATTATTACATAATATGCATTACAGGTAATGAGGGGAAAGCAGGGAGCAGGGGGTGGGGTAGGGGTTGTTGGTGGTGGTGGGATGAACTGGGAGATTGGGATTGACATATATACACTAATATGTATAAAATAGATAACTAATAAGAACCTGCTATATTAAAAATAAAATTCCAAAAGAAAAAAACCCTGTAATACTAATAACATAAGAAAAGATGTCCAACCTCACCAGTAATCAGTGAAATTCAAAATAACAATGAGATATATTACTCATCAAACTGACAAACGAAAAAGTCTGACAATACCTAGCGTTGGCAAGGGTGCAGAACCAGTTAAGGCTGGCATCCAAACAGGTTCTACTTTTGGAGACAATTTGGCAATATTTAGTAAGGCTGAAGATTCACATACCTTTCAATCCAGCAATTTCATTCATAGGTAGGTGTCCTGGGGACTCTCTCACACACGGCACAAGGAGAACTGTAAAAGAACATTAATAGTAACATCATTTGTTAATCGCAAAAACTGGAAACGGCTAAATGTTCATCAGCAGGAGGATAGATAATTATGACATTTTCATACAATGAAATTAGTTCAAGCAGTGAAAATGAATGAACCTGAACTATGCACATCAACACAGATGAAATCTCAGAAAGAGTAAGGTGAATGGAAAAAAATCAAACCGCAAAAACATCAGAATACACTACCATTTACATAAAGTTCAAAAGCATAGCTTTTATTATGTTTAAAAGGAGATGATTAATTGTTCTTTCTGAGGCAGAGAAAGGATTATGCAATTAGGGAGAAGTAAAACCGGTGTTTCAATTATACTGGTTGCATTTTATATCTTAAGTAGGATGTTAGGTATAGGGATAGTATAAATTACTATTCTTTAAGCCTTTTAGTGTGTCCAAAATACTTCATAATATACACAAATAAGCCACACTAATTTGGCCTAGAAAGTGTCTCTGAATCATAGAATGCTTACACAAATATTTTACTAAGTTTGAGAGAATATACAGCATATTATGCATGAAAAGCAAAGGTTCAGCTGTTTTAATGCATAAAATAATTTGCAATTATAATTAGTATACTGTTTATAATTCAACAAGTGGTTTTTAAGGAACTAAAAATAATATTTTCCCTCTAAATTAAATCTTTTGATAATTCCATTATTAAATTAAATCTTTTGATAATTCCATTATTAGCTACTACACTATTTGTTATTTTTTGTTGTTGTTTTATCTAATTCCTTTATTTTTGAGTATTGCGCAGCAAATTCCAGATTTCATGTAATTTCACCCTATAACACTTCAGTATGTGTCTCTAACACTGAACACTTAAAAAAACTAAAATGTCATTATCATACCTAACAAAACTAATAGCAAATACTCAGTTTCATCTAATACTTAGTCCATGTTTTGATTTTCTCTGTCCCCAAAATGTCTTTTTACAGTTAGCTTGTTTGATTCAGAATCCAAAGTCTACATACTTTATTTCACTTATATATACAACATTTTTTAAATTAGGAACATACAGTACAAGCTCTTTATAACCTGCCTTTTAACTTAACTTCTTATGCACATTTTCCCATGTATGAAATACTTTTCTTCAATGATTTTAAGGTCTGTACAACATTCCATACTTCTTACCTCCAACATCTTATTATTGGACATTTAGCTTATTTTCAAATATACACACATGAGAAATGACTCATGAGAAGTAGAAAATCTGGGCTCAAGATGAATAAGCATATTTGTTAGATTTTTTGATACTGCCATATTGCTCTGCAGCGGGGCACATCAGTTTTCCCATGAACAGTGTATTCCTTGCAAAACACTAGGTATTATAATAGAAAAATTATTATTACTTTTATCCACATCAATAGGTACAATAATATCTTTTTATTTATTTGCATTCTTTAGTGTGGTTAAACATGACCGAAAAACAAACAAAACAAACAAAACAAAAATCCCTTACAAACCAACAATGAAAATGTAAAACATGTCAGAAAAGTGGACAAAGATATGAACATAAAAATTTCCAAAAAAATACATTATTTTTTATGAAATCTGGTTTTACAGTGCTTCCCAAAAATTCTGACCCTAGAATCTACCAAATAATGGCAGTTCAGCAAGACGTTTACAATTTAAAATATACTGAGGTACTTAATAAAGAATCTCTCTCAAGAAAGGGATATTATCAAAGATTCCATATTTTAGAAGCAGTGTTAACAGGGTTTGTGAAAATTATGACCAACTTCTTCCTCCTCTCACCAAGTCCCCAGAACAACAAAGAAGTCCTCCAAAGCACACCACACACATACACCCAAACATGCTGGGAAGCCTATAATGCAGTCCAAATTCCCAAAGAGTTTAGAGCTGGACGGATCTAACTTAATTATTGACTCTACCTCTTAGCCCCAACACATAGTTGGATCTCACACAGCTGGATCTCAATAAATAGTAGCTGCTTTTATCAACAGTCTACTTGGGATTAAATAGGTTTGGGCATAAAGACAGCTCATGTAGGCAGCAGATAAAGATACAAGATTCCCAGGTACAATGAAATAAATGATACAAACGGCCTAACCAAGGAGGCTGGGCAAGCTAGCACATGCATGCCTTATGAAACTTTTCTAATTGTAGGTTTGTTTTTTTCACTTAATAAAAAGCTGCCCATATATTGTACTTAAATAGCTGAAGCTTTCAATTTAAAACTCCAAATTTGCATTAATATCTAATTTTGGTCAACAACATATGGTCATCTTCATCAGAAATTTGTTGTAATTTATACTCAGTAACTAAACCATATTAGCTACTATCAGAATGAAGCCATTATTTAATTTGCCTCAAGGACTGTTGGAAATACAGCTTGTTAGTTTAGGGAGCCAGACATACTGTAGAGACAGCTTGGAAAGCCAGTATTACAAACTATAAATGTGACATTTTCCCAGAAGGCTTGACCTACTTTAAAAAAATAGAGTCTATCACACAGAGTGAAGTAAGTCAGAAAGAAAAAGACAAATACCGTATGCTAACACATATGTATGGAATTTAAGAAAAAAAAAATGTCATGAAGAACCTAGGGGTAAGACAGGAATAAAGACGCAGACCTACTGGAGAACGGACTTGAGGTTATGGGGAGGGGGAAGGGTGGGCTGTGACAGGGCGAGAGAGAGTCATGGACATATACACACTAACAAACGTAGTAAGGTAGATAGCTAGTGGGAAGCAGCCACATAGCACAGGGAGATCAGCTCGGTGCTTTGTGACCACCTGGAGGGGTGGGATAGGGAGGGTGGGAGGGAGGGAGATGCAAGAGGGAAGAGTTGTGGGAACATATGTATATGTATAACTGATTCACTTTGTTATAAAGCAGAAACTAACACACCATTGTAAAGCAATTATCCCCCAATAAAGATGTTAAAAAAAAATAAAATAAAATGAATCTGATCAAGTTTAAAACGCATTCCTCAAATGAAGGGACAGAGAAACCAAAAGCAATAATTTAGGGGTAAATTAACAAAAAATATTCAAGGACATGAAAAAAGACCTGAATAAATGAAATGATAGACCATGTTCTTAACGATGAAAGCTCAAAGTTGTAAAGAAATCAATTCTCCCTAAATTAAAATATAAATTAAATAAAATCCCAATCAAAATATAAAATGGTGGTCTGGATTTATCACAAATACTTCTAATCTGGATGAAAATGCTTGTGAACTTAGCAAAGTCATAAAAGAAAAAAAGAGATCAGCAGCACCAATTATTAAAACACACTACAAAGTAACAACAGTCAGATATATAATAGTAATACATGAACAAGCTAGTATGATGTTCATATATTTACAAAATGCAATAACAGAAATGTTAAAGGACAATCAATCTAAGGTAATTTAAGCTGTGACACTGAAGACTGCCAAATCAATAGAACACAATAGAAAACTCAGAAATAGACTCAAGATTCGAGAATTTAGCATAAAAATGGCATTTCAGGGCTTCCCTGGTGGTGCAGTGGTTGAGAGTCCACCTGCCGATGCAGGGGACACGGGTTCATGCCCCGGTCCGGGAAGATCCCACGTGCCGCGGAGCGGCTGGGCCCGTGAGCCATGGCCGCTGAGCCTGCGCGTCCAGAGCATGTGCTCCGCATCGGGAGAGGCCACAACAGTGAGACGCCCGCGTACCGCAAAAAAAAAAAAAAAAAATGGCATTTCACATTTGTGGGGAAAAGATAGTTTATTTAATCAATGGCATTGGGAAAACTGGTCAGACATTTTAAATTTTTTTTAATACATCTTTACTGGAGTATAATTGCTTTACTGGAGTATAAGTGCTAGTTTCTGTTGTACAACAAAGTGAATCAGCCATATGCATACATATATCCCCACATCCCCTCCCTCTTGAGCCTCCCTCCCAGCCTCCCTATCCCACCCCTCTAGGTCGTCGCAAAGCATCAAGCTGATCTCCCTGTGCTATGCGGCTGCTTCCCACTAGCTATCTTACATTTGGTAGTGTATATATGTCATTGCTACTCTCACTTCACCCCAGCTTTCCTCCCCACTGCTGTGTCCTCAAGTTCATGTCCTCTATGTCTGTGTCTTTATTCCTGCCCTGCCCCTAGGTTCATCAGTACCTTTTTTTTTTTAGATTCCATATATGTGTGTTAGCATACGGTGTTTTTCTCTTTCTGACTTACTTCACTCTACATGACAGACTCTAGGTCCATCCACCTCACTACAAATAACTCAATTTCGTTTCTTTTTATGGCTGAGTAATATTCCATTGTACATATGTGTCACATCTCTATCCATTCACCTGTCAATGGACACTTAGGTTGCTTCCATGGGTACTGTAAATAGTGCTGCAATGAACATTGTGGTACATGTCTCTTTCTGAATTATGGTTTTCTCAGAGGATATGCCCAGTAGTGGGATTGCTGGGTCATATAGTAGTTTTATTTTTAGTTTTTTAAGGACCCTCCATACTGTTCTCCATAGCGGCTGTTATCAATTTACATTCCCATCAACAGTGGAGGAGGGTTCCCTTTTCACCACACCCTCTCCAGCATTTATTGTTTCTAGATCTTTTGATAATGGCCACTCTGACCGTTGTGAGGTGATACCTCATTGTATTTTTGATTTGCATTTCTCTAATAATTAGTGATGTTCAGCATCTTTTCATGTGCCTCTTGACCATCTGTATGTCTTCTTTGGTGAAATGTCTGTTTAGATCTTCCGCCCATTTTTCAACTGGGTTGTTTGTTTTTTGGATAATGAGCTCCATTAGTTGTTTGTATATTTTGGAGATTAATCCTTTTGTCCGTTGTTTCATTTGCAAATATTTTCTCCCATTCTGAGGGTTGTCTTTTCATCCTGTTTATGGTTTCCTTTGCTGCGCAAAAGCTTTTAAGTTTTATTAGGTCCCATTTGTTTGTTTTTGTTTTTATTTTCACTCCAGGAGGTGAGTCAAAAAAGATCT